ATATTCTATATTATTAATAATAACTAACAACCACAAATTTATGGTGATAAATATTGCTATTTATTGTTATGCATATTCAAAAAATTATAATTAATATGAATTATGTTAATTACTATATGAATTAATTAATATTAACTAAGCACGCTTTGAATTTTACCTTTATACTTGATATGTGTGTAATGTACACACACACACAGTATTAATATAGTGTAAATATACATAAATATTTTATATTTCATATAAATGTGTGTGCGGAGAGATTTTTGATATTCTAAACATTCCAAAAAATTTGATTTAAAAAATAATAAAAAATATAAAAAAACAATTACATTTATTTTTTTAAACAAAAAATGAATAAATTTAAAATATAAAAAAGGCTATAAATTCATCAACTATTAAAGTCTTCACTAAATGAAGACAATTAACAATAATGCAATATTTTTTATTAATACTAATATATTAAAAAAAATCAAATAATCAAGATTTTTTTTTAGGTACCTCACCTAATGCTAACAAATCATATACTATAGTGTTATATACTATATACTGTTGCTATAGTGCCAACTGACTTCTATCAGAAACTAAAGGCAATCAGCAGTAAAATGAGTAAGATGAATGCAGGGCCGAAGCGAGAGAGCATGCGATGGTGAAGATTGAGAAGATCGCCGCAGGGGAGGGGAGAGAATTACTGCATCACGTGACACTCGGATCCGTTTATGATTGTGTGCAGGGAGAGGCCGAGCAGCTACGGTTACACTGTAATAAAAATGCCTCATGCATCACTGCGCTGGATCGTATCTCACCATCCATTCACTCCACATCACAAAAGAACCCTTAACATGGATATCTGCAGCGAATGTGGCGCTTGCAGAAGGTTGCGATTACTACAATCATCTTCACTCAGTCAAAGCAAACCAGTTGTATAGTAAATCAAATCAAACACTTTACAGCCTCGACATTTGATGTCTCCATCTTCATAAAGATAATTAGAAATACTGCTGCAACACTTTGAGGAGGTGAACAGCTGGAACCAGGGGAGGAAAAACTATTTGAAAAGTAGGAGGTACACATTATAAATCTCATCTGCCTCTCTTCACAACATGGTTTAATAAGCTTAGCTGCCAGAAACAATAAGATCATCTCATCTGAGTGCTTAAAGACTAAACTTTCACTAGAAATTTTATCATAAACTCAGAACATTGTTGCCACAACTTTGAATATAAAAATACATACGATATGATATATTAGATACAACCCTGTATAACATATACAACCCTTCTTATGTCTCTTCTCTTAGAATTATTCTCAATACCAATAAGCCAGGGGGAAAAAATCATGTTATGGCTAATAACTGATAAATGTCTGATATATTTATTTATTTTTTCTTTAATTTTTTTTTTTAATAAATTAAAAATAAAACAAATTCAAATCAATCATTTTAAATATTACAGCTGAATTTAGGCATACAAAAATATACAGTTTGAAAAAAAGGATTTTCATTTTGAGATTTACTAAAAATAACATTTATTAATGTTATTAAATTGTTCATTTAGTTTTTAAATATTAAACATTAGCATTTGATGATGACAAAGGTAATCTAATTATAAAAATACAGGAAATGTTATTTATTTATTTAAAATTAAGGTTGAGTACTATTAGGATAATGATTTTTTAATTCTTTATTGCATGTAATTGTAAGATTTTTTTTTTTGCATAAATTCAAAAAGTGTAATTACAAAAAAAAGTGTACATTTTTGTAAAATTCCAAATAAAAAATATGTGAAATAAGTAACAATAAAATATCCATTTTAAATATTTGGGGTCAGTAAGATTGTTTTTAAAGAAATTAATACTTTTTTTCAGCAAGGATGTATTAAGCTGATCAAAAGTGACAGTGAAGATATTAATAATGATACAAAAGATTTCTAATACATTTTTTAAAAATTCAGCTTTGTCATCATAGAAATAAATCACAGTTACAGAAAACAGTTATTTTAAATTGTTATAATATTTAAAATAATAATTGTTGTATAAGATTGTATTTTTGATCAAATTTTCAGCATTTGTGAGCATAAGAGACTTTTTAAAAGAAAAAAAACAGACTGATACAAATAAATTATGTAAAAAATAGTGCTGTCAAATGATTAATCGCGATTAATTGCATACAAAATAAAAGTGTTTGTTTGCATAAAATATGTGTGTTTTGTGTATATTTATTATGTATATATATATAAATACACACACATACAGTATATATTTTGAAAATATTTACATGTATTTACATGTATATATATTCATATAATTTATATTATAAATAAATATATTTAATATATAAACATAACATATTTTTCTGAAATATATACATGCTTGTGAGTATTTATATATACAGCATCTCACAGAAGTGAGTACACCCCTCACATTTTTGTAAATATTTTATTATATCTTTTCATGTGACAACACTGAAGAAATGACACTTTGCTACAATGTAAACTGTGAAGCTCTGGTGAACTCCATGCCCAAGAGGGTTAAGGCAGTGCTGGAAAATAATGGTGGCCACACAAAATATTGACACTTTGGGCCCAATTTGGACATTTTCACTTAGGGGTGTACTCACTTTTGTGGCCAGCGGTTTAGACATTAATGGCTGTGTGTTGAGTTATTTTGAGGGGACAGCAAATACTGTTATACAAGCTGTACACTCACTACTTTACATTGTAGCAAAGTGTCATTTCTTCAGTGTTGTCACATGAAAAGATATAATAAAATATTTACAAAAATGTGAGGGTGTACTCACTTCTGTGAGATACTGTACACAATAAATATACACAGTACACACACATATATTATGTAAACAAAAACTTTTATTTTTGATGCGATTAATCGCGATTAATCGTTTGACAGCACTAGTAAAAAAATGATGTATTGATATGTTGTGCATGCCTACAAAATACCTCTAGAAAATAAAATGATTTGTCCAAAAGTGGAGGGATTAATTTAATAAAACTTACAGAAGTAGAATTTAAATGTAAAAAAGTATGTTTTTGTGTTGATTTTACCTGGAAAGGGCAGGGTATGTGGTAGTCTCTGCAGCGCTCCTGCACCCATGTGGTCTCCCAAACGGAGCGGTGCGTCTGTTCGTACAGGTAACAGCCCACCACGGCCAGCAGCGGCACCAGATACAGCACCGAGAACACGCCGATCCGGATCATGAACTTCACCAGCTTGTCCTGATTCTCCTTCTCCAGAGGAATCTCCATTCGGACCCTGTTGAGCGCTACGATCCCGGCCAGCAGCAGCGACACTCCCACCAGGACGTCCAGACACAGCGGCGCCAGCACGAACCAGCGGAGAGTGTGAACGTCATACAGGCCCACGAAACACACGCCGCTGATGTTATCGCCCTCGATCTTATTCAGAGCCAGCAGGGTTATGGTTAGCATGCCTGGTATCCCCCAAGCGCTGGCATGGAACAGCAAAGCCTTCTTCTCGATGGCTTCGCTGCCCCATTTGGGAACAGCAGCTAAGAACCAGGTGATGGTAAGGATGACCCACCAAACACTTCCCGCCATGGTAAAGAAGTACAGCACCATAAAAAGCAGCGTGCAGGCCTTGTTATGCGAGCCTTGAGTCACTGTTGACCTTTTGTACTGGCTGGGATTGGCTGCGTTACACGCTACGCGATCCTCCAGCAGAAAGCCCAAGAAAAACACAAGTGACACCATCATGTAGCAGACGGCGTAGAAGATGATGGGCCGCTCCGGGTAGCGGAAGCGCGTGACGTCGATGAGGAAGGTGAGGAAGGTGAAGAGCGTGGCAGAGAGGCAGACGATGGAGACAACGCCAATGAAGTAGCGGGAGAAGGTGAGCTCCTCGCGGCGGAAGTACATGTTGGGACAGGGAGGGGAGCAGTCGCGCACACCTAGAAAC